TGATTCACACAAAATCAAGTCAAGTCAAGTAACGCTATATGCAACCAAAGAGTGAATTCTCAGCAGCACGCAATGCTTCAAACTGATAACAATCATAGGTGAATTAGATGCAGGTCAAGAAACGTGGATGACAAGAAGTGTCAGTTACAGTTCACTCGATTTGACAGCAGATTGCTGGAGTTCGCTGGACTAGGGATTGACACACAATGAGCGAGTGACTAAGACTTCTTTAATCAATGTCATTTTCATAACCGGGTGTCGTGACCCGAAGACGTACCTAAAATGCCCAAATAAGATTGACAAAGACCAATGAACATTAGTGTTGATGCAGAATCAGTGAGAAACTATAAATTAGTGTGTTCCACAGCAAGCGGTGTCACCGCCTCAACCACATCGTGTCCTGAAGATATCTAATGCCCGAAAACTTTGTAGTGCCAGCCATTGATTACTAGCATGGACTGAATTGAAATTGGAATTAACAACATTACTGATGCAAACACAAATGCACAACGAATTACTGTCTACGAACAGCATTGTGTACAACATCCATCGTACGCAATTTGCGCCCGTTATAAACGTGCCGCCCAAACAGCTTGTCCTGCTGACTTGATGATATCTACCGATGACAAACCTAGGTCTTACTTAAAATATCTGTTCTCTCCAGAAGAACTATATGCAAATAATGGAGACAGAATAAATTATACTCGGAGGTACAAGCTAATTTCACAATGTCTTTGACACACGACTGACAGCATTAATAAACAGTGATTCTGATCCAATGCTAGTAAAACACGATATCAGTAAATCGAACAGGTCTCGTTTCCCTTAACCTATTTAATTAGCTATAATTAGGAATTTGGAAAGGACAATGAAAAGGTGAAGAGAGCACCGCGCGAATTACGAAACAAATGCTACATATAAACGAAATGGCACCGCAAAACGTTTACGAAGAGGAGTGAGTAGCAGCTCAGTTAAACTAACTTACTCTTGCCTGAGATTGTGCATTCGGCGGCCCCTGGGGACCAGTACCAGGTTTCATATTCGGACCGAACGCAGAAGCTGCGTTCGTGGATGTGATACGGTTTCCTGATTGAGGAATGTTGCTTGATCCGGTGAGTGAGGATGGATTTGTGGACGATGATAGAGACGCGGTATGAGCAAGATTTTGTAGGAAGAAGATGAACGCCTGGTTAACTTCGGTGACTACTGCTTCACGAACGGAGCACGAAGGCGACCTGAAACGAGGAATCACAGAAATGAGAAGACAGTATATGCAACGGCAAAGTTCAGTCAGTTTGGCTGTACAGTAGGAAACGAGAAACTACAGATACCACCTGACCAGTACCACAAATGCGAACTGAATCAACTGTGTGCGCCTCTGAAATCCTCAGTATGGTCGGGGGTGGATGTCTAGGGTTGCGGCTGATCACCCTT